TGGAAACCCAATAAGAAAAGCAAGGCAGTCAACAGTAGTCATCAATATTCTTGGAGCAAGCAGTAAGAGCACCCTTTTAGAGTAAGTAGCACCCCACCCTTCTCTAGACACTAATTGTATCTGCTGACAGTGTTCTTAAATTTCTGGCTAAGGCTCACTTTTGAGCTTAGCATGAAGCTTGTGTATGCAAGGGCTGTCCTCTGTAGAACACCGGTGTCTCTTGCTTATGGATTCAGCATGTGAATGTTGGTTCTTTAGCCCTACAGCCAGAGAATCACATCCCAGAAGGCTCTGCAGCAGCTAACAAGGACTGGAGCGGGAGTGTGGCTGTAGAAAAGGGTTTTCCCACCAAGGGATTCTGGCACTTCTGGAGGTTGCCACTGAACTCATCTGGTCTCTGCAGGTGGCATCCAGACATATTTTTCTTTTGAGGGGGTGGGTATTTCATGATTGTCTTTCAAGCCCATGTACTAAAAGCCAAGAAAACCCGGTTTTGAGAAAAGGTTTGAAAATGTCTGTTCTCTGCACTGTTGTATGTGTCTCAAATGTATTTGCATTGATAACCTCACACTGTTTGTGCACAGGAAGCATATCCAGTTTGGAGTGGGGGGTTGAGAAGAAGGATAAGAACTTTTTCAGTTTTATAAAAATCCAGTTCCTGGCAAAAACAGGAATCCAAATCTTCATTGGGAAAGCTAATCCAGGTGAGAGAAAATCAGCTCTGTTGTTCAGGAAAGATGGGACCTGTTATTTGCTTTTGTTATTCACACTTTAAAGCTCCTCAGATAAGTTGGCTCCAAGTTATTTCATAAATAAAAATGTATGCTGAGAGTAATTTATGTGCTCCTCTGGGTGGAACCTGAGGCAGGCCATGAATTTGAGGCCACCTTGGTCTACATGGGACCAAGCGAACCAAACCTATAGAGAAATATCCATTTTCAAAAAAAGACTAACCATTCCACAAATAAATATTAAAATGTAGACATTGTAGAATGTTCACTTGTCAGAGTTTTTGTATGACACAGGGCTTTTCTTTTCTAGTTACTAATGTGCTCATCATGTACCCAATATGGTTTCAGCAAACTTTATACTTGTCAGCCTATTTTATTCTTACACTAGTATTGTGTAGGCACTACTGTTTTCTCTTGTTGGTAAGGGGAAACTGAGGATGAGACAGATGAGAAACCTGCCTGCCGAGGGTCTCATGGCAAGGGTTTGTCAGGGCAGGCTCAGCTTCCAGCAGCTTCAGCGTTACTGGATGGGATGTAGGAGAGGGCTATAGTAGTGATGTGGGCATAGTGGGATGCCATGTGATGTATCTGTAAACCTTCACATGGGTGTCTTCTGCCCCAGCCCTGTGCATAGTCTGTATTGCATATGATTGACAGTAAATGGAGCCTTCCTAAGGGAAAGGGATATTCATACAAGTTCCTAGGGTCTCTACCCATCATACTCTCCTGCCTCTACTCCAATGATTTGTTAATGATGCTTTTATTCTTGTGGGGTGTGTGTGTGTGTATTTATTTGGCTACTCTGACTGACCAGTGAGGTACCAGGGATCTCCCTGTCTCTTCCTCCCCAATGCAAGGATTCCAGACATGTACTATTGTTCCTTGCTTTCACAGGGACACCAGGGATCTAAACCCAGATCCTCATGCTTGTGAAGTGGGCCCTTTACTGACTACTACTCCCGTGTAGTATTCTTCTATAGTCAGTCCAAACAGAACTAAAACCCCCTCATTAAGTAATCATTTGATAGGGTCTGGAAGACCAAAAATGACCTCATTAGCTCTATCTACTCTTACCTTCTGCTACTACCAACCCCATACTCGCCCCTAAGAGGTACAAACAACCCCTGTGGACATCTCTTTGAAATATCCCTGTAAGATACTGCTATTTCGTGCTACCTATGATGCGATCCAGGAGAGAGGCTCCATTTCAGTGTGACACTGTACATCACTCTTGTGTGTGAGGATCCATGCCTGGCATGAGCAGACTTAGCTGGAGGCTGTCTCTTCAGACCCTCCGTGAGAACTTCCTTGTCCAGCTGAGATGATATAGTCACATGAAGCCTTTCCCTTTTCTCTCCCCACAGATAGTACACAAGCCTCTTTCCCACATGGCTCAGACATATAACACCCATCATTTTGCACAGGCACACAGCACCCCGTGGTAGAAGCATTGAGTATGTCAGTCTCAGACTCTCTCTGATCCACCCCTCCCCCATGTTTTCCCCCATTAGGCAAATGGAAGGCCCCTTGCCACCTGTTAGCATTACGTCATTGGCTCCCCAGAACACAGTTGTACCCAAGGCCTTAAACAAAGTAGTTCTTCTTGTATTGTTTGCATTCAAAGAGCTGATATCATGCCAGCTGATGTCATTGTGTGTCTTTGTGTGAGTGCTATGGCAACTGGGCAGGTGGGGAGCCTCTGGCTGATGTCACTGGGAAAGGAGGGGCAGAGACTGAATTTTAAAGAGCTCTATGCTGGGTTGTTTTGTGTGTGGGGGTGGGAGGGTGTTTTGGTATGCTTTTATTTTTTTTTTCACACTAGCTGCTTTAAGACAAATTGCAGCTTGAACACACTAAATAAGAACTGAGACGTCTCCTCCCCCTCCCAGCCTCTTCTTTTGAGTTTAGTTTCCCAGTCCTTCCTCCCAACTTATATGGAAAAAAAATGTTGCCAGTGCCTTTTTTCTTCAGAAAGAAGTGAATTAGGTCCCCCTGGCAGGATCAGCATGGGGCTGTTTACTGGGTCTTTGTGAAGCCCCACAGATTTCAACACAGTTCCTTCCAGTGTCCTCTGTGGAGTTTGGGACAGTGGCAGTGGGTAGTTTTACACTCTAGTTGTTAAGAGTTCACTGGTGATATTTTTTTTCCCTGGTGTCTTGCTTTTTTCTTTGTAGTTGGAAGGTTCCCTCTGGGCTAGCCACCTGCATATAATGATTTCACCACAGAAGACAACAGCAAAGGCAGAGTTTAATTACAGAAACAAATTCAAATGACGTCAAAGCTCTTACATGCTCTCCTAAAAACATTTATTTGTCGTTTCCTTGTCTCCTTTTTGACAGGTAGACTGGGTACAGGATGTGACCCTCCTGAGGTGACTGTGAATTGTTGCCCTTCCCTACTGAAAATATGACTTTTGTTCTCTTATACGGCTGGCTGTGTGCTTCAGTCGGGGACATGCTTTGTACAGGTCACCCACTCTATCGGTCAAAAATGAGACTTGCTGTTTGGAAGGATGTGGTTGGTGTCAGATCAGAAGCTGGTGGACGAGTGGACTCCCTGCCCTGTTAGAGCCTTACTCTGTTCAGGCTTTGTGCTTTCAGCCGTATGCCTTGGGACACTCAAGACCTCTGTGACTGGGAAGACATTGCTTCCAGGAACTTCCCAGGGTCTCACCCTTTTCTAGAAGACCCCACACGTCCCACGCTGCTCTACTGGGGTTCACACTCATTTGGTGACCCCTCCCCAGGTTTCCTAATGTCTCTCTCATAAACCTTGTGGAATTTGAGCTCCATAATCCTTCAGGTCTGTCTGTGTGTTAATGTGTGTAACATAAGAAAGGTGGAGTTAAGTGACAAACTCTGACCGGAAGTGACAAACGCTGACCGGTACATTCCCTTAACTGTTCTTTTTTGTATGGAGAGGCTTTTTTCAGAAAGTTTTAAATTAGCTGTTTTTGCTTTAGCATTAAATAGAAGGATTTTCTTCGGTTTTATAGTTTATTGCTTTAGTGGGTACATATTATCCCATGGATATATTTAATAGTTTTATTTTGGGTATTTACTCAGCCTTTTCTTTGTTTTTAAAACTCACTATTGTTGAGTGTATGTTCAAGTTGTTTGTGTTTGTGTATGTGTGTGAGTGCGGAAGTCAGAGGCCAACTTTGTGGACCCAGTTCTCTGCTTCCACCATTAAACAGATGGCATCGTGTGCGCACCACCATGGATCTAAATGCACAGTTGTGCCTGCCCGAGTCCCGTAAGTGACTCTGTGCTCACACAAGGCTGAATCTGCATGCTAAACATGGGAACACTGGTGCAGCTTTAACCTTCGGAGAAGTTCAGACTCGAGCCTTGGAGTTAGAGCAGAGCCTCGAGCTCACAGTGTGCGTTGTTACATCCATCAGAGGTCACGGTTAATGCATTAGTGTACCCACAAGCCTCTAAAAGCTAAGTACGGGAAAATGGGCCACTCTCAGATGCCATTCTCCTAGAAGTCAAAATCTACAAATGTCAAGGACATGTGTGGAAGAATTCATAGTGTAGATCCTGCGTCACTCTTCCAACCCTAACTTACCTTAGGCTAGCTTCCCTCTGTGTTTTCTCCCTTTGGGCAGCCACAGAAATAAGATGGATAGAAATAGCTTGTTTATGTGGAGGGGGCCATGCAAGGCTGGGGGTTGGGGGTGGACTGAATACTTCACCTGTGTTTATCTCTGTCTGGGACTCACACTCAGTGAGACACGCTTGTGCAACTCAACCAGCAGGTCAGTAGTGCCAGCCAGATACTAGCCGGTGTAACCTGGCTTTTCCACAAGCCCTGCTTGTAACTGCTCTGCTGCTGAGTGAACTTGTCCTTCTGTAAAGTGAGTCATAAAGGGTACAAGACATGTATGCACAGTGCCAGGAGACAAACAGCAGTCCTCTGTAGGGCGATGTCATCCTTGATTTTCTCAACCCCCAAAGTACAAGGTTCTATATAGGCCAGGGACCATATGTCTGTTAAAAGCAAATCAGATTTTCAGTTGATGAAATTACAGGGTGCTGTGTGGTACTTGTTCCCAGGCACCTTGGCCCAATTTTGCAATAGGGAGTACAGTGCCCTCTGATGCTGTCTCTGGGTGTCCAAAACAGACTTCTGGTTCTTGTTTTTTATTTTAGAAATGTTAAAACACATACATAGCCACAGTGACACCCATCTCTATGGGGAAGCTGACATTTTTCCCCCCTCTGTGGGCTTTACTCATATGTGATTTCTGTGTTTTCCTTCCAGGGGGACTCAGTAGTTTTAAACAGAACCATGGAAACCTCTGTGACAACTCCCTCCAGCTTCAAGAGTGCCGGGAGGTGGGGGGTGGTGCATCTGCGGCCTCGAGCATGCTACCTCAGTCTGTCCCCACCACCCCTGACATCGAGAACGCAGAGCTGACGCCCATCCTGCCCTTCCTGTTCCTTGGCAATGAGCAGGATGCTCAGGACCTAGACACCATGCAAAGGCTCAACATCGGCTACGTCATCAACGTCACCACGCACCTTCCTCTGTACCACTATGAGAAAGGCCTCTTCAACTACAAGAGGCTGCCAGCCACTGATAGCAACAAGCAAAACCTGCGGCAGTACTTTGAAGAGGCGTTCGAATTCATCGGTAACTATCTCCCACAGCATGGGCAGAGGGGGGCTCCTTTTGGGGTCTTTCTTCCCTGTAGTTCTGATTTTGATATAAGATCTGAAGTTTATTCCTATGTTAGGGAAAACAACATCAACAACAACAACAACAACAAAACCTACCTAATCCCTAGTCCTTCCTGTAAGTCTCAGAACTATCAGGATGGACATAGTTGAGATAATTAGCTTTCCGTTGCCATGGCTCAAACACCTGAGAGGTTGTCTTAAAGGGAAGAGTTATCTTGACTTACGATCTCGGAGATTTCAGTCCTTGGTACTACTGACTCTGGTCCTGGGGTGAGGCAGAACATGGCAATGGGGGGTGATGATGAAGGCTACTGACTTTATGGTGACTAGGAAGGGAGGGACCAGGACAGCGTACGAGCTTGAGTAGCACAATGTCTGACCTACTAACTTCCTCAGGCAAGCCTCTCCTTTCAAATGTTTTAGAAACTGTTGGAAACAGTACCACCAACTGGGGACCAAGCATTTGAAACATGAGTCTGTGGGACCATTTCACATTCATATTAAAGCAATAATCATTCTCTTTGTCCAACGGATGTTCAAGCAGAAGCCCCTATCCTCCATCCTCCCATTAACAAAACTGCCATGGTGGAGGTTGGCACTTAGATACTGTATGACCAGAAGATTCAAAGAGAACATGAAGAACTGCTCAGAGCTATTCCAGCTGCCCAGTCTATGTCCTCCAAGTCCTGAAGGAAGCACCAAGTAGAGACTGTGACATCAACTTAACTGTCCCCAAACCTCCACAGAGCACCTCTCTCAGCTTTATTCACCCAGAATAGGGAAAGAGATTTCCACTGAGCACCATGAATTATACTGAGTCACAGTGTGTGGCTTCCTCATTTGAGTTCGAGGCAAAGGCAGCATCATGAAAGGGCTAGCTCTGAAGAAACGTCTTCAGAAGCAGGCCATGCTGTGGCGAGTTTCTCCACCCACTTCTTCCTTGCAGAGGAGGAATGGAAGGATAGCGTGGATTGCCTTTGTCCACCAGAGTCATCTCAGTTCTTAAACATGGAATGATAAAGACTGACATTAGTACATGTTTCCTTTGACAATTTGTCTCCGGCTCATAGTAGCAGGAAAGATCAAGCCCCTGTAGGACCTAAGAAGGAAAATTCTAGCAATAATAGGCTCTAACCTCAGAAGGAAGTAACCCCCAGCTCCATGCTGAAGTTAACCCTTGTAGCCCTTGTGGCATTGTGGCGAGCGAGACTCTGGGTGACTAGGACAAAAAGAGCAGATGACAGATGTTCAACATTGTTTCCAAGAGACGCCAGCTTTTATCAGCATAAAGGTAGCCCAGTGCTCTCCACATTAGCACCTCGGGTTGTCACAGGTCTCTGTCTCAGGAAGAAAACACTCATGGTTGTTGCTGGTTTTGCCAGAAAAAAAAAGTCTCAAGTTTAGCAGCCACTAGGGTGATGTTTTGTTTTTTTTTTGTTTTTTTGTTTTTTTGTTTTTTTTGTTTTTTTTTTGGCAAGTTGGTAGCTCTGAACTACCGGGTTTCCTTTCCAGTTTGTCCTTCAGAGCTCGGCTGTACCAGGGACACTCTGGCAGGACAGAGTGGTCTCTGAACTCAGAAGTAAGGTGACCTTTCCATGTCAGGAATTCTAGTGTCAAGAAAGAACTGGGGGCTGGGAGGAAGCACGGTAGAGAAAGTGTTTTCTGTGTAAGACTGAAGACCTCAGTTTGAATCCCCCAGAACCCATGGAAAGTCAGATGTAAGAGTACAGATCTGTAATGCCTTCTCTCCTGTAACCAGATAGGAGGCAGAGAACCCCTAGATACTCACAGGACAGCTAGCTTGGCATCCATAGCAGCACAGGAAATCCCATTTCAAAGAAGGTAGTAGGCAAGACCCTGCATTGACCCCCACATATGTGCCATGGCATGCCTCTACCTGTAAAAACAAAGGACCTAGTGTTCTTGACTTCTGGCCAGGACTCTTTTCCGTGTTTACCATGCCCCGTTAATTAGTTCCTAACACTGGATACAAAGACGTCCTGGGTCTTTTATTCATAAAATCTGAGCCAAGCCTTGTATCATGAGCAAGAAATGCTTGCCACGAGGCCTGTGAAGCTCCTAGTTCCTTGAGGCTGTTATAAAGGAGAGTCCCACCTGCTTCATTTCAGGTGGAGGAAGTGGGGAATTTGTTTTCCATTTGGCAAGTGGCATGGGATAGGCTTGTTCTAAGAGCTTACAGCCTCGGTGCTTACATTCCTTCTGGATTACTCAGGTTTACCTCCTCTCTCAGAAGAAAAAGAAAACTCATAACAAGCAACATTTAGCCTGCAGAACAACTCAGGATCACCATGGGGTGGGGTGGGGGACACGGTTTTGTTCTCCTTGTCCTCTGATTGGCTAAACTGAAATTTTATAGTGTGGCTTCAGGGGGCATACAACAAGGTTCACAGTGTATTAACATTCACCTGAGTTTAATATAAACTAAGCAATGTTCAGGTTTAGTTTAACAATGCCAGTTTAACCCCAGAATCAAGTGACTTCATTTCCAACGCTCCAGAGGTTGGCGAGCTAGTGTCCTTGTGTTAGTCAAACAGGAAGACCAAAGTCCTGGGGGGGTCAGAGGACTCGAAAGGTCACTCAGCTAATGTGTTAGTGGAACAGGTGGTCACACCCATGGTGCACCTCACTCATCTCATGCCACCATATTCAATGGTCTTGGTTTGAGAGGTCATTTAGTGTTGACAAAGGGAGACTTTCCTGAAGCATTGCTGGTGGATCTCTTGAAGCAAGCTTGTCTACAGATTGGTGAGAGAGATAGTTACATCCTGTTTGTTTCTCAGTCTACTGGGAAGCAGTCAGTGGGGGTGATTTAAGCTAAGGGACAAGTCTCTTTACTCCCTTCTCCTCTGCCTTATCATTGGCCTGCATTCCTCTGGGGACATTTCCTGGGGGATGTGTTTTAATCTAGAAGTGTCACAAAACATGTCCAGGGCTCACAGGCATCTGGAGCTTTTAATATTAAACATTCCACTTTCTGTTGCTTTCTATTCTGAGCTACTTGTGATCCTTGCCTTCCAAATGGCTGGCCTGTAGGGTCAGCGTATGTGGAGATGAGGAGTGGAACACTTCTTCAGAGGGCCATGCAGTAGTCCAGTGCTTTCCAAGCCTCACTGGTAACATTTGACATCTCTGAAGAGAAGCTGAGTGTAGGAACGTTCCAGCTGAACTTTATCCCTTCTCTTCTATGAAGTTTTAGTAAAACTCCGTGCAGTAAATGCTAGCTCTTATAGGAAATAATCTGTAGGATAAAAAAAGGTATGTGTGTCTAGCATGTGGAAGATACATTGCTAATAGCACTAGTTTTTAATGAGTCGTGTAGTCATATAACCTGGAAAGTGGAATTAATATTGTTAATCAGAAGCACTTTGTCACGTATGCCCATTTGTGTACATGGCATAATCTCCAGGTATTCTCTCCTCCTCCTTTCCTTACTTTTTTCCCCCTTTATGCCAGTGTTATGATTTTAGAGAAAATACAAAAGGAACAAGGTTGTCAAGAAAGAGTTCTGGAACATAAATGACAAGCTTTGTAGCTTGCTTCTCATGACTGTGTTCTGTTGTAGGTATAGCTTTTGCCTTCCCCATCTCCTGTGACATGTGCTATTCTACAGATGACTCCCTTGCTCTGTCTTCTCTCTAATATAGAGCTGTAGGGGCTGGGAAGGTGGCTCAGCAGTGAAGCACTCATGATACAAGCGGGAGAATGGGGGTTAGGATCATCAGAACCCACATAAAAGCCACATAGCTGTAGCAGCTTTCCTGGAATCCCATGACCTAAAGGACTGAGACGGGGCACCCCAGAGCAAACTGGCTGTCTTGACCAGCAAAAGTCATGAGCTCCAGATTCAGCAAGAGATGCTGTGTCATGTAACATGGAGGGTGATCAAGTAGATACATGATACCAAATATGGCCTCCCACAGACAAATGTGAACATGCATCTGCACTTAAGCAAACATGCGTCCACACCCACATGCACAACATACACACACACACACACACACACACACACACACACACACAGATATACACACCCCTCCCCCTCAAAACAGTGAAGGGCCAATGAGATGGCTCATCGAATAAAAAGTACTTGTTGCCAAGACTGACAACCTGAGTTCAATCCCCACCAACTCATACTGTGGAAAGACAGAACTGACTCCTGCCAGTTGTCTGTTGCCCTCCCCGTGCACCCTGTGGCATGTGTACCGACCCCATTTTTTTTTCTAATAATTTAAGAAAATGCAGACCAGCAGCTCCTGATTCCTGACTGTGGCCAATTCTATAGCTTGCAGCTTGACCATGTAGAATCCATCAGTGCATCATGCTTTGGAACCATTCGAATCCATTCTCTCAGCACAAAAGGAAACACCGCAGAGTCAGGCACAGTTCCGCTTCCCCCGTTCTTACCACCTGTCTCTCTGTCCCACAGAGGAAGCTCATCAGTGTGGGAAGGGCCTTCTCATCCACTGCCAGGCTGGCGTGTCCCGCTCTGCCACCATTGTCATCGCTTACCTGATGAAGCACACACGGATGACCATGACTGATGCTTACAAATTCGTCAAAGGCAAACGACCAATTATTTCCCCGAACCTCAACTTCATGGGGCAGTTGCTGGAATTTGAGGAAGACCTAAACAATGGCGTGACACCTCGGATCCTTACACCAAAGCTGATGGGCATGGAGACGGTCGTGTGACAGCAGGCAGGGTGGAAATGGCCGTGCTCTGTTAGAAGTCGGATGAACAGGAAGGAAGGTGGAATCTAGCTTGTCTTTATTCTTTCTTTCTTTCTTTCTTTCTTTCTTTCTTTCTTTCTTTCTTTCTTTCTCTCTTTCTTTCTCTCTCTTTCTCTCTTTCTCTCTTTTTCTTTTTTTAAGGTCGGGAGTGTTTGTGAAAGGAAAGAAACTTGTCTAAAGACTCTATTTTTAATAAGTATAAGAAGACTGTAACTTTTGACGCCGATGAGACACACTTCTCTTAAACTGATATTGCAGTTAGGTTAAGGAAGTCATTTTGTTTTTTTTGTTTTTTTTAAAGCCAACAAATAAAAATATTATAAAACTTGTTTCTCCCCAATTTCCCTTGTAAGCTTTTATTGTAGAGTTTTGACTAAATAGTCTGTGCAGGCTCATAGACCGAAGATACCACCCTTCAATTTCAAAGAACCAAAAGGAAACGGAAAAGACTCTAGACCTGGAACCCACCTGGACAACCAAGTAGAAAGCAAACCCCACCAAACCTTGCCCATTGTGCTCACTGGTGTGAAGAGAAGTGCTGGCAAGCTCAGTGGTCTCAGCTCACTTCACACCTTCTCTGAGGAGACAGGCTAGTGTCGATTTTGTATGTTCCATGCTCTGGATATCTTTTCCTTTTCTCTGGGTCTGAGAGAACTTTTTGTTTGTTTGTTTGTTTGTTTGTTTGTTTATCAGAAAGAAACTGACCGTTATACCATGTGCCTTTGCTGGCACTTGTGCAATAAAAATGGTGTTTGGAGTGCACAGCTGAGATAGAGCTGGCAGCTGAGTGAGGAATGAAGTCAGCTTGGAGACAGGAATTCAACAGTACCAGTGGCTTCCCCTCCCTCTTTTCTCCTTCTCCCCGCCCCCTTTCTTCTTCCTCTTCGTCCTTTTATTTGTCTTTATTTTTTGATTTGATTCTGGTTACAGTGCCATAAACCTTGTTACATATGTATATCAGAATGTAAAAAAAAAAAGACAAAAATTTATTTAAAAATATTTTTCGCAAAAAAAAAAATCCTTGGTGTGTTTTTGTTGATGGTGTAAGAATTTATTTTCATTATATAAATGAAACTTGTTTGGGGACGTGTCGTTCTTTGCACTTGCCCGTCTGTCTTCTCTGGTAAGCCTCATGCCTCTTTTGCCTCTGGAACTGTACACATAACATAATTAGAAACAAAGCACAGGTTTTTATAAAGAGATGGAGAGTATAAAGCAGGGACCACTCACAGAAGCTAAGGATCCCAGCACTGGTACACCCCTCTGCTTCCTCCCATCTTCCTCCTCTTCATGGATTTAAGCAGCCTCCATCAGACTTGATAACCAAATCACAACCAAACAGGATTTGGAATACAGTTGTGTCCCTGGTAACTACATGTAAACGTCAGTAACCATCTGCCTTGTATGGTTTTCACAGTCCTGTCTCAGTTGACACTAGCTCACGTGACACATTTTCGGGACATTCACCCTGTAGTACAAGCTGCAAGATGTACTCTTCCAATGTTATAGAATAGAAATCAATATTCAATAGAATTATTGAATATTGTCAATATTCCCAGTCAATAGAAATCAGCTCAATGTACACACTGACTCTGACAGTGCTAGATATTCAACCCAGAGACAGTCTTGGAAGTGGGATGAGAGAGAAATATAATCCTAGAGTTTTATATATTTTATTAGAGTGCATATCTAGAGGGACTTAGCCGCTCAGAAGATTCAAAGTGCTCCAAAGTTTGCTTGGTGTAAGTAAGCGCTGAAGAATTCTGGCGTGTCTGGCTCAGAGTGACCACATTTGACATAAATATTTTTGTGAGCATTTGCTTACAAATGTTACACCAGAAATATTTTGACATTGACTTCTTTATTCAAAGACCTTGTCTGCCAGGAGTCATTTAAATTTTTCTTTCATTAGAAAAGTGGAAATTGAACATAACAGGAACTGAGAGCTAGCTGGAATTATTTTAGTCTGATAGAGAGTATGAAGTAGTCAAAAAGTAAATCTCTTATGCATTTCTGTACTGTTAACAGTTTTTTTGTTTTGTTTGTTTCTGTCAACTAGAGCAGACTGAAAGATACTACTTCTGATACACAGTGACTTAGAATGCTTGGCAGGCTTGTCATTTTCTAAGTCTAAAGTTGGAGTTCTGTTGGGGTATAAAATTCTGTCTCTCTTCTCTTCTTTCTCTTTGCTTTTTTATCATGTCTTCTGCAAAGGAAGGGAAAGAATCAGTAGCTACATGGACGTGATTTATGTGTTTGGAAGTTTATGAGCTTAGGAGAAGGTCTGCCCTGGGGAAACAGGAATCCTGCCAACCAGCATACCAAAGATTCTGAGAAGGACTCCATTCTTTCCTCCTAATCTGCTCTGAGTCACTTCACCTTCGTTTCTTCAAGAGGAATGTTAATCACTTCATGAACCCACTGGATCATCAGAGCCAGTGCTCTGGAAAGCAGATTCTCTAGCATTCTGAGCCTCTCACTAGCTGCCTGCAACCTTCAGGATGGAGTTGGGAAATGATTGCATCTTCTGAGAAAGCGTAGTCTCCATCCACCTCATGAGTCATTCCCAGGGCCCATGCTGAGAGAATACAGTGATTTAGTAGAATGAATCCATGGTATATCTAATGACCGGCAGAACAGAGCAACAACTCCAGATCATCCACATTTATTTCAATAGCTGACAGATGCTTTTCCAGTCAGTATCAATGAGTATAGACAGCTCAGTTCACAGACGAGCTCCTGCTGGTGACATTTGGACCAAGGTAGATGGAGTGGAGAGTGAGGAGGGAAGCTGACAACGTGTATGCACAATAGTAGAGGAAAAACTTCTTAGGATGAAGTGATCACATGCTGGCAGTAAGTGAGAGATGTCCCAGAAAATCTAAAGAGAATAAACAGGGAAATGGGAAACTAGAGTAACGAGAGAAAGAATACTAGTGTTGAATTAAGATCCAAATCATACTCTAAAAATTGAGACACAGAGACAGGCGGGGAGACAGAGCCAGGAGAGAAACGGTGCTGATTTCTCTGGGTCTTCCGAGGGGTAAACCCTGGTGAGCCAAACAAAGATCAAAACTGTCGTAACTTCCACCTTATTTGAAACCTGACTCTTGGAGATGAACTATATAGACATATATGGGATGATTTTTAACCTCATATTTCAGATGTTCTGGAGCAGGGTGCAGTAGAAGATATCGAAGCACTGATACTCAAAAGCATGAGTAATATCGTACTCATTTTGAACTGTAGTGTCCCCAGATTTATCCACCTGCCCTTTGGAGGCAGTAAGGAATGGCAGCCATACTGTCAGTGGTTCCTGATTTTGGTCTCTGGTCACCTTCATCAATGGTGTGAAATACCCAGGCTTTGGTCAGAGGCAGAAACATTGGGAAACTCGCTAGTAGAGTATTGCTTCTGTGTGACATGGCCTGAGATCTCTGTGTCAATAATGCCATGGAAGAGAAAAGCTGAACATGAAATATAGGGCTGTAAAGATGAAATTACAAAGGTACGGAACATATGACGTGACGGTTGTTAAGGAAGAGACTGGGAGAGATCATAGGAGCTGAGATCATGGCTCCTGCTAAGTCAAGGTGGGTCACAGGGTCAAGGCAAATGCATGCTCACTCTAATTCTTCCCAGTTATTCCTCTAAAGTGGGATGGCTGCTACTTCTCTTTGCCACTTCCCCAACTTGATGTAAATTTCCTCTCAGACTTAGTAACCCAACATGAGACAGACAAGGGAATTATGGGAAAGGCAGTTCCTGTCTGGGCTGATTTTGTCATCATCGTATTTGGAACTTCCCTCTCTTACTGTTCATCGTGTCCCTTTGTCCTCATCAAGCGCATTCTTCATCATGGTTTTTTGCCTTCTGAAGGGCTCAGACTTTGACAACTGGGCTTGTATTAGATTATTTTCCACTCATTTTATTATAGTAACAAAGGCAACTACAAATCGTAACAATCTAAGCAATACTCTAGCATTCCAAATGTATTTTTCCTTAACCCAGTACCAGCCCATGTTACTTGTGACAATCACAATCATGTCAGTCAGTATAGCAAAATATACTTTTGGTTGTTTTAGAAAAGGTTCATTTCCTTTTAGGTGTGTGTGTGTGTGTGTGTGTGTGTTGAGTATGTGCATGTGAGTATGTAAGTTCAGGTACCTTCAGAAGCTAGAAGAATGTGTTGGATGCTATGAAGCTGGAGTAATAGGCAGTTACGAGCTGGCTAACATGGGTGCTGGGAACTAAACTACAAGAACAAGATATGCTTTAACAGATGATCCGTGTCTTTAGTCTATGTTTGATTCTTAGTGTAAGGCACCCAAGGTAGTTGTCAGTATCAACTTCTAGCACAAAGGATCCATAGTGCATCTTCCAGTAGAGGTATCTTTACCTTAGGAACTAAACTTTCTACATTTGAGCTAGAAAGAACAAGCTTTATAAGTGGATCATTAATGACATTAGCAAGAGACACTTGTCCTGTTTCTATCCTTTGATTCCTGCATTTAAGTATTCTTGGATAAGTGTTGGGGGTTGTTCTGGGTGCTGCTATATATTCAGATGATAAATACTGGCCCCCAAGGTCTGGTTTACACTCCCCCAGTTGACCCTAAAGTACACCAAGTGATGCTTATGTAAGCCTTGCTCCCCAATTTAAAACTATTGATTCAATAAAAACAGCTATAGCCAGTTATTAGGGGGAAGTAAAAAGAGGCAGTGTTTCCATTTACTGGGGTGGGGGTCGCAGGTAGGGACCATGAGGGAAAAGGAGAAAGGAGAAGGAGATGAGAGGATAGGAGAAGGAAGCTGGAGAGGACAGAAGATCTCCATTAGATGTGATGGACCAGAAACAGGTGCCCGAGTAAACACCCCACTCCCCACAAAGGACAGATTGTTGGAGCAGAAGTAACCTGGGAGGGACTCAAACAGCAAGTACTTGAGGAGAGATGCTGGAGAAGTGGCCAGTTCAGCATTTGAAAAATAGATTAGGGGTAATCCCCCAGTAATTGTGCGAAAGCTGATTAAATAAATCCATAGGACTCTGTCTCAGTTACTGGCAGGCTGGCCAGGTCATATTAATAACTAATAGAGTTTATAAAATTCAATTAACAGACAAGGGAGAAACAACAACATATAGTGCCTGATGACTCTGACTTTACTGCCTCTTATGGGACATTACTCTATCCCTGTAACATATTTCCACTTGTCCAGCAGAGCAATAGACTTGTCAGAACTCGTTTGCCTTTCTACTGCTTGAGAGTGATAGATAACATGGTGGGACTAATGAACATGAACCTGTTTCCATACACAATTCACCACAAAGGAAGTTCCTTA